TTGAGCGAAAAGCTTTATTATTACTCTGTATTTTGTTATTAAATAGTTTGTTGATCTGCATAATAAAAAAATTTTTATTTATTTCGTCAAATGGGAGTCTCTAAACACTCCCATTTCATTTTCCGATTTCAAAATTTTGATATACAAATAAGATTTTTTAAACTCTTATTTATTTCCGAAATACGCTATTTTTTTTTAATTCTGAAACCCCTTATTTATATAACTTTTATACTATTCAATTTGCCTATTTTAAACAAGTCAAATAGTATAAAAATTATTTGTTTTGGTTATATAATAGGATTTTTTTACTAAATAAATTGACTTTATATTATTAAATAAAGCTATTTGCAATATAGATTTCTATATAATTTTAAATTTTAAAATTTAAAAATTTTGAATAATTTTTTTTTAATAAATATTCATGTTACATATTTCAAAATTTAATTAAGTTTAAAATTAGTAAAATTTAAAGTTTGAGTCTGGTTTGAAGCCAGACCAAACCCGGACTGGACTGGCCCGAACCAGATCTAGGAGCACTACATATCACAAATAACAATAAGGCTGGTGTTAGTAAAAAATTGAAGAATTATTTTAGTTTTTACTGCTCACATCTTGATGAATTTTTAAGCTTTTTTGCAGATTTAGTAGACAAAATCTTAATTTTTCTTTTGACCATTAAATAACTTAAAATTCATCAAGATGTGTACATTTTATTAAAGGTTTGCGGGTTAAAAAAACTATAAGTTCAGGAATCCATGACAATAAGTATTGATAAAAGAAAAAAAAGAAATATGTAACAAATAAGCGAAGCACTTAGGGTAATAACAGATATTACGTAATATTCTGGGGGGAGGGGTCTCTGATTTTCTTACGTAGAAATAAAATTTATAATAGCCAATCAAATCTCTCTTACGTGGGGGAGGGGGGTAGAGGGTATAGTAAAAAATATTACGTAATATCTGTCACTACCCTTATTGTACTTATTGATTGAATATAATAATACGTGCTGTAATTATCAATAGTTTATTATGTATATGATAAGTCATAATCAGCATTAAAAATTGACTCTGGCCATTTTTCTATCAGTGAAAATTGAAAAATGACATATGGGGTCTTTGCCTTGAAAATCAAGTTATGGAACATAGTAAATCATATGTCCCATACTTGATTTTCAAGGCAAAGACCCCATATGTCAATTAATAATTGACAAAATTGAGAAATAACGCATAACTTTATAACAAATTAGATATTGTGATGAATTGCGATTTTTCATGATCTTGCGGTCGTAATCAAATGAAATTTTATACCATTCGATTCTTATCGAATAGTAGCAATTTGAATTACTAGATTACAAGATAGTTAAGTTAATTCATTTTTAAATATTTATTAACAAAAATAAGGTTTGTTACTCAGTGATCTGAAATGATAAGATTTTTTATGCCAATCGACCCCTCTCATTGTTATGATCTATTGATATAAGAATCGCTCAATTTGGATCGCTGAGTCACAAGATATTTGGGTTAAATATATAGAATATTGAATACTACAGTAAAATGTGTATTGTGATGAATTGTTAATATCTCATGATTCCATGATCAGAATCCAACGATTTTTACATAATTTGATTCTTATCGAGATGAATCAAATGGTATAAAAGATAATTCGTTACAATATTTCCTAATGCGAAAAATCACATTACTTTTAATAAAAATTTAATTCAATATCTTTGAATTTGTAAGCAGGATTGAAAATCTTGGTATCAGTCGATTCAGTGAGACGAATCAGATGATACTAAAATCATTCGATTTCGTCGGTCACATGTTCGAAAATTAACTTCATCACTATTCCCAATAAATAATAATAATATTAATAAATAATATTATTATCACCACAATTAATATCAATAAAAATTTAATGTGTAATATTTAAAAATATTCTATAATTCCTAGAACCACTATTGTTCAGAACCGAGGGAATAAATTTTTTTTTTGAAATAAATACGACCTAACTTTTCTAGTAACGATATTATCAAAATTGATATCTTGTGATGTAATAAATTAAAGAAATTATACCGTATATGTATAATAATTAGAAACTGACTAAACTATATAAATTATTATAATAAATGTATATATAAATAAATCTAATAAAAAATTGTAAATCGGTATATAAATATGCATTTGACATTTTGATATTTCAAGGGGGAATGGCAAAAGTCTTTTTACACCTAACTATACAAGGTAGATAAATACTATATTTATTAAAAAAGTTAGGAAGAAAAAAAAAAATTTTTTTTTTCATCACTCCATTAAAATTATCATGACATTGTATTACCGGCATATATTAATAATATTAAAATATATATGCAGTAATTAAAAAAAAAATCATTACCGATGCATATTTGATAACGAAATCGGGTTAAGTGTTTGAAAATTTTTGATTATCTAATCTGTATGTGAAAAAAAAAGCATATGAAAAAATAATAACAATGAAAATTCAGATGAATAATAATTATATAATAATGAATACGTAGTAATTAATTTCAATAAATGAGGTTCATAATATAGTCATAACGATACGTAACATTAAAAAATAGACATTTTTTCATTTTGGTAATTTATTAAATCTGAACTAACCTAAAAATAAAAATAGTAAAGACCAAATGGTAGACGAAATCAATGAGTCAAACTTATCAGCTGATTTTAGGGTTAATATGAAACAAGGTTTTAAGTTTCTGCAATAACAATGATAACAATAAGATAAATGGTATATTTTTTAAGAGACACGTGGTGCAGCGCGGGTTCGGCTCATGTAAGTAGCCCGCGGGGAGCTTTGTTGTACAAATGTTTAATGAATAAAAAAATTTCGAATTTCGTTTATTCAAAGATGCAAGACACCGTGAAAAAAAAATTCAGCGTGCATACATGTGATGCTCGGGGGGCGCGAATATGTAAACGATATACTTAATGAACTTATCATTTAGGATGGATATCCGAGATAATCTGCAAAATTACATATTTGACTTATGGAACACAATGCTACTCTTTGTATGTATGCGTCCTGCACTAACATTTCTATATACTACTGTACTAGGTCTTAAGTTTATTTTAGGTGTTGATCAGAGGGAAATTTCAAAACCTACCCACATTCTACATAAGTACGAAAAAAATAAATAAAAAGAACGTATATCGAACTTTTTTACCTCAAACAATTTTTTCATTTTCATTTTCATAATAAATTTATAAAGTTATAAAAAAAGTTTTTTTTTTCAAAAAGAAATTCTCGACAAAACTAAAAGAAAAATCCAATTATACAAGACTTTGATAAATTTATTAAATCAAAATGTCTACTAGATCCACTACATCTCCTAGATCCGCTACGTCTCCTACATCCCCCACATTTCCTACAACTTTTATTTCCCAAATGTGGTTTATTGCAAAATTAACACTTGGTGGTATTACAGAATGCAATCAACAAGATTCAGGTTCAGATGTTAGCTTTGCATATTCTTTTGCAAATTCACACTTACCTAAACCCAAGACTACAAATCCGACCATGATGAGAAATGAAAGAAGACCAAGTTTATCGTCGTTTGCAAGGCGCCGCAGTATAGTTCGTGAAAGATTTCTTAAACCAGTTAAAACTGTAGTACGAAAAAAGAGTGGAGAAATCGTGAAACCATCTCTTAAGGATAAAAGTAATCAAAATGCGAATACTTTTCAAAAAGTCGTACACTTCAACTCAAAACTAGAACAAGTTTTATCATTCAAAAAAAATCAAATGCCGAAAGCGATTAGTTATAATATATTAAAAAGGACAAAAAAGAGCTCGGACGATAGTGATAATTAACCAATACACTAAACTTCTTGAAGAAGAACTCGTCTGATCGTTAATAAAGCATCCAATCCACCGATTGTGGAGAGGTATTCAGCGTCGAAGTAGAATAGGGGATGGAAGGGTGAAAGAAATAGATTATAAATTTTAGACAAATTTTATTTTCATTGGCAAAATTGGCAAATCCAAAAACATCGTTCTACTCTAAACCATTTAGAGTTTCGCATATACAACAACGTTTTTTATTTAGCATTCGAGTAAATTGTATTTTATTAAATTGTAATATTAGCAATTCAACCGAATTTACACTTTTGTATTTATTTCAATTTTCGATTATCAATATTGTTTATACTGCATTTATTTTTTTTGTGTATATAAAAATTCATCAGTTACAATATATCCATTAAAATTAAGGATTCTGTTACTTGAAGTTTTACTTGTTTAACTTGTTAAATTATTTTGTTAAATTATTTTATTAAATTCAAAATTTTTTGAACTATATGTTAATTGTATAAGATTAAAGCTAAAATATTTTTGGCTTTACAGTATGACGAAAAAATTATGTGTAAAAAATAAAATTTAATTTCACCATATAATTATAAAAAATGGTCGTTTAAATTTTACTATACGCAAAAAATAAAAATAAAAAATTCAAATATTCAATGCTCTTATTTCCGGAGAATGTTTTAATTTTCCTTATTAATCAAGATATTAGATTTGTACTAATGAATTCCATTATAGAATCAGTAGATGTTATCTAAAGTTTATAAAGTCAATTTACATGTCGCAGTTTCACTTCATTGTACATTTAGTAAATGTAGAAATTTAAACATTTCAAGAAATTTCAAGAAATTTCAAGAAATCTCACGCTGAGAATGGATGTTATTCCTGTACATATATAGTCAAAAAATCAACGGAGATAATTGGTATCATTATAAATTCATTTAATTAGGAAACTTTTTTTTTTAAGCTAGCATATGCTGTAAATTAAAGTAAAAAAAAAAATTTTTCGCTAAAAATATGATATTGATGTGACTAAATAACACAAAGAAAATTGCCATTTAGATTAGCTTTCCCCCCACTAATGATGGTTGGATTATCGAACATAAGCCTGGGTACATGTACGTAAGTGCGTACGTACGTACCTACGCACCTACGTACTTTAAATTGTGAATTGATGGCACACTATTAACAATATGCACAATTTGTAATACTAATTATAAATTTGGTAAATTTTAATGTTAATGATAGAAAGTACAATAGATTTAGTACAAATTGAGATACCGCATTGTGATTTTGACTTTATAATTTTGAATTTCCCATCCTTTACATCCGAGAGTTGATCTTTTTTTTTTTCTCATCAATTCTTTCGTTATATATATAATATACACATAATATTCACATAATATTATACATATAATTTACACATATATACTGTACATATATGCACATGTATATTTTTAACAAAAGATTGTTATATCATCGCATATGTTAATAGCAAGAACTGTCATTGCGTTTGATCTTTTAAGCTAGTCAAGAAAAATAGAAAAATAAATAGTTAGCAAATCATAATAGTATACCATTGTTCTATCTGCATATGAAACGGCTTGTTGCACTCCCTTGAAGACTACATTTGTAAAAATAACAAAACACATGATTATCAAAGAATTTTTAGTGTAAAGTCCAATAATAGTTGCATATGAAAAGTTTGAAATACTGAATTTTCTTAAAATAATTCAACGGATTTATACTTGAAAGTTATTGAATTTTTTCATAATACTAAAATTTACAAGTTTTGTTCAAATCACAATACTCTAATTCTTAATAATAGTACAGCGATTGTCATAATGTCTAAAAATTACACAATGACTCCATTATTACTCTTTTATTCGGCATAATTAAATGACTCATTGTTACTTGCATGATTTTAGAAAAAAAAAAAGAAATTCATTGTAATTTCTTTTTAAATTGAAAATATTATTATTCTTTTTTCCTAATTCTATAATTATATAATAATTATGTTATAATTCTTGGGGTTAAGTTCCGTTTATTTTCACGTGATGACACTTATTTCCGGAGTATAGTGAACGATAGGAAATAATATCAGCATCAGGGTGCAGTCAAAATTTTCCGGAAATGGTAGGACATGAGTATCATTTCGGATATCAAAAAAGCAACTATCTTTAGTGCGATAACAAAAGTTGTTGAAAACGCAACTTTACGACTCTAACTCTAATAATAATAATAATAAATAATAATAATAATAAATAATTAATTAATTAATTAGATACATAACTCTAGCCTATCGCTATGTCCGAAAATTCGATAATACTGTTATAGTCAAGGTGACACAATAGCTACATCAATGGTAAATTTTTAAAACGTGCCTGATTTGTTTAGTACATACTTTAAGAAATTTCATATGATTGACAATTTTAGTGCCACGTTAATGAAATTTGGTAAAAATTTTCAAATATGTGAAACCACGACTTGCAAGTTTCATTTGGTATTCGATTTATACTTTTTAATAAATAAATGAATTAATAAAATAAAATAAATAAAGTAATGCACAAATCGTTTTTATTAGAGTTGCAGAATACTATTACCAAAAGCTAACGTAAATCTTAATAATCTTATCGTTATCGTTATTATAATACTCTTATTTAGCAAGGTGTCACGAATTTCTCATGATTTGTCGGCAAGCGGTAGTCAGTGGTTGGTGGTATACCGATGTTGATTAAAAATGTGCTTATCCGATTTTTTGATACTGATTTTGTTCTAAATTCTTTATCAAGGTATAACCTGTTACGAGATTATGTGTTAAGATTGTCAAATTTTACTATGATAGAAGACAAGTACAAGATAATTGATGTTATCAATTTTTGGATGAATTTTTTTTTTTTGTCTATCTATTATAATCATTATTTTATTTGTTACTCCATATGTACCTGCTTGGTGAAATTCAAATTAAATTGACTTTAATATCGGTTTATAATTATCTAATTCGGTGTTTTAAATTAATTTTGGGGTTTACTTTTCATTTATTATAAAATATACCATGAATTCAGAGGTTAAAACATCATATGCGCATTTTATTGTATATCATGAAAAGAGAGTACCGGGAACTACTATTTTTGTTTTACTTAGTAATCAGGAATTCTTTTTGATCAATCAACGATTAAACTGTTAAATTCAACCCGGTTAACCCGGTTTAGCTTAAATAGTAACTGATTTTCAATTATATACATGCTTACTGTACATGTAAATCCAATTCAGTTTTTGGAGGTTCTATTATAACATAATTGCAGGCAGTCTTAAATATTTCTATTTTTCGAAATTGTTTTCTGCGGACTTAAAAAATATTTGATGTTTATTTTATTTTATTTTATTTTTTTGACACGAGTATTTAGATGGTAGAATAGAATTTGAGAATTTCGCAATCTTTCCATCAAAATAGAATCTTGTGGATTCCAAATTGGTATATGTACGTACGTATGTACGTTATGTTGGGGTTGCGCTGCCAACTACGTAAGTAGATCAAACCTATATCAGATATGTAGTATTCTTGTTATATAAAAAAATCGGAATATATAATATTATGTATAGTATAGAATCGCAAATATGTATAGTATAGTCAATAAATTAAAATATACAAAATG